CCGGCCCAGCCTTAAACGGTGACACCTTCACACAAAGGGCACAGAGTAAAGATCAATGACAAAAATACCAGACAATTCTGTTACAGAACAGCATCTCAGAGAGAGTGAGCATGCTCTCTCACTAAGGACATAGTGAATAAAGAGAGAAAATAAAACCAGGTGAAAAGAGCATTGCCATGAGCATATGGATATGACAATGGGAAAACAAGTGATATTTCTGCCCAACACCGCACTGTCTAGGCAAATTCAGCACAGAAGTTAAATCAAAAAGTAAAGTCTATAACGAGCTTTGTGGAGTCCTTGGAATTAGCAAGTATGGGACTGATAGATATCTAAGTGTTTGACTGAAGCACTACATGGGAAAATCCCAAATATCAATTCAGAACAGAAGAAAAAATTGCATCCTCAACAAGGAAAGAAGAGTTATTCCATTAAAGAAATTAAAAACTTAAACAGTAGCTTGTAACCACAAATACTGTACAGGTTACAAAGTTGTGGGGGTTTTTATCTATAGTAAAGATTAGAAAAATAACAGGACTTCCAAACAGCTATGGTGGGCCATGGCTAAGGACAGACATGTTGTTTTAGTTGTGCTACTCCATATCCAGGGCTTCACAGTACACAACAGTCCACGAATTACCCATTCCGCACTGTAGCCCTAAGTACTCCTACCACTCCCATTCCCCTGCCACCTCTCGCAGCTCCTCTCCACTTCCCTCCTACGCAGATACTACAACTTGATGGAGCTTCAGGTAACCACAAGCAGCCCTAGACATAACTATGCAACAGATCCATCCCCTTAACTGTACAACATTCTTCCCTGAATTACAGCTTCCCTTTCCTCCCCCCTCAATCTTTCACAAGAGCAAGTGAAAATTCCCCAAGCATTCTTTGACAGCTATGCTGACGGGCTCAGAAAATGCAATGTAAGCACCTCCAAAATACCATAACAATATAAAGCTACGTAAAGGGGATTACTCCCAGGGGACAAAGTGTCAAATTCATTCTCCAAAGTAATTCAATACTTTAATACAATGGTGCAGATGAATATATGCAAGTGATAACTGTAACAGAACATTTTGGCTTTATCTATACATAAACATTTGAACAAGTGTAACTGAAAAGACATGTATCTAATTAGACCAACGTCCGTTTGTACTAGGACACTTCAACCAAACTGACTAACGTTGAATTAAATGGACTTCGGACATCACACTGGTTTGCCCACTTGATATCCGAGAGTTATATAGGTTAATGACAATCTCAGTTATGCATTGGTGCGAGTGGTCTATTTTACAGTGCATATACTTATCATAGTATGAACTGCACATGAACCAATCGCATGCCAGTCAAAATTTTTAAAAGCAGTAACTCTAAGCTTCAGTAAAATGACTTACGTATGGCAAACCAGAACGTATTGCATTTTCTCTAGTGCAAAGGGATGAAATCTCACCTGTAGCACCCAGGTAAAAAACTAGATTAGAGTTTAGTTAGAACTGATGATTATTGTTAACATTAAACAAGACCCAAAAAAAAGTCACTTTGTATAGCAATGACGAGACATGTAATTTTATTACAAGCTGCAGTAAATGCAATAAGGTACACTGTGCCTGTCAGTTTTCAAATTAAATACAAATGTCAAATGACAATTTTACATTTTCCCTTTAGAAGCAAGTTTTTAAAAGCTGAATAGGCTAACCAGTTGTAACAACAACAAAAAACCCCAGACGTTGTGATAACAAAAAGCAAAATGCAACTCTTACCACTCCCAGTTTTTCAGAAGCATTAGCTTTCCACAGACGAATATTCATCTCATCTGAGCCACACAGAATATATTTGTTATCTGAAGTCCATTTTACAGTGATGACATGCTGCATTCGTTTTGTATGATATACCTCCCTAAAGCAAAGGGAAACATTTTTAAACGATCTATCATCACCCTTCCCAACATTACCTTTCAAATAGCAGAAGGCATTCTGTTCAAGGAAAAATTTGGGTTTTAGATTTTTTTAAAAAGCAACAACAAAAAGTGACTTTTTTTAAACACTGTGCTGATCTTAGATTTATATAAAGAGAGATTCAAATAAAGCGTGATGGTTAGACTGATAAAGGCCAACCTAGGATAAGATGCGTTTTAAATAACTGCTTTCACAGAAATGACAGTAAATAGCTAAAGAGTAACTCTTTTCGCAAAATGTGCCATGAGTATACAGTATGATATGCATACTGTTCCCAAAATAATTTTCATTAATAAGAAGTTATACTGATCAAACATTACAGACTAGGACTACAGAAGAATGAGTGCCAAAGAATCTGACACCACTGTTATGAACAGAAAGAGAACAGTAAATAAACAGCCCCGGCTGTCCATTTATGACATAACAATGGATTGGCTACTTGTCATCGTGATTTCCCTCCTTCCTCCCAAAATGGACTTATTGTCTAAAGGACTCCTAGGAAAAATTTTAAAACCCTAAAAACTCAAAGAAAAGTCTCCAGTCCTGCAAACAAGAACTCAACAAGAAGCATGAGCTAGTAAAAAAGGATTCAGAACAGCTCTGCGATTATTAAAGCACACATTTAATTTCTGCCGATCAGACTCCTGCTCAACAAATGCTGGCACCTGTTGAAAAATTTCTACATGCTGCATTTAAACCAATATTTAAATGAAACTTATCTAATTTTCATTAAGTATGTACAATATTATTCATAAAGTTATTCTTTTATTTCTGCTATAAAAATATAGGACTAAGTACACTTTTCTGGTAATTTTAATTATTTATTAGCATTCTAAAGGTGAAGAATAAGTAAGGCCCACTTATTGTCCACTAATACCCACTCCTTTGGTATATCAGTCACGCACTACAGCTTATAGACCATTCTTTCTTCTACCCAGTTATTTTTACAAGTAAAATCCAAGTAGTAATGAAATGCAAATATGGAAACCACACCTACTCAACAGCTACAGAAAAACTACACTGGGGTTGAGCTGGAGGGGTTGCGAGAAAAACAAAAGTAATCAATATATCACCTTAAATAAGCTTTAATAAGCTTAACCACCTCTTTTAATCCACACTCAAGTGATGCTCTACAAGAGCAACCATATGAAAGACTGAGCACAAGTACCTTCAGAAAACATTAACAGTCACATCAGCTTTTTACTGATGTTGATGTTTAATAGCATATGTGCACAAACACATTTTCATAAGCATTTCTCTGCTTAACTCTCATTTACTGTCTCACTCGGTAACAAAGCTATTCTTCACCCACCTTTGGGGAACTAAGTACTTCAGCCTTTCCCTCTCCTGTTGCTGTCATCACAAGTCATTAAATATTGTTCTCAGGGGGAAAAAAAAAAACCCCACACAAAAAAACACAAAAAACAAACAAAAAAAAAACATAACACAAAACCGGGCCAAATAATCTGGATCTGTCACTTAAAAAATTCACACAGACATCCGGTTCTGTTTACCAAGAATTTACTAAATTTAATCAACTTCATAATAAATTTTATTTCTTATGGCTAATCAATTTCCTAATTTGAATTTTCATTTTAAATTAAAATAGAAAGCAATGGAAGTTAGGAGTTTTTCAGACTGGCAGGAGATCAAAAGTTAAAACTGGAATACCATCAGGATCCTTGTTTACAGATACTCTTAACTGCCCTCTCAGCTTTCCAAGAGGGATCAGATCTTCCATGTGGAGACTTTTCTCCATTCCACGGGATTAACTGCAACTGTGCAATTCTGAAAAAGCCCAGCTTCTAAAGAATTTTAAGTGTTCCAGAATGTCCTAGTCAGCTTACATGAGACTAAGTTCTTCATTTGTAAGGCCTTTGCTCACTGGATTTACAGCTACCACACAGAGCGGGGGGAAGAAAGGGGAGACAAAGAGGAAAGTTCCTTCCACAGGCCTTGGCAACAATCTGCTATAACGTGGAACAAAGCCTCTTACCATTGCATTATGGGATCTGCAAACTTCCCCTGAATGATGTGCTTAACTTAGTAATATTCACAAAAGTGGTGATACGCAATTCCATAGAAAAGAAAATCTGCAGATCACAGGAGCTGCTAACCATATTGTTTAATACTGTAAGAATTTAAAAAAAAAGAAAACAAACCCACAAAGGAACTGCAATACCTAATTACATTTAAAATATTATTGCAAGACAGGAAGAAAATGAAAACTACCTGTAGATTAAAGGAACATGCAAACAGCCCCTCTTAATCTTTAATGCAATATAGGAGCACACAAAGAGTTACGCTGAATAATGCATATATAACTGCATCATTCAATAATAAAAATATACTCCTCCTCCAATCAGTATTTCAACATTCCCACTCCTCAACCCACCTACAACTTGACCTAGTAGCAATTTTTGGGGGGAGGGCGAGGTTGGAGACAGGAAGGCAATTAGAAGTAAAATAAAGTTAAGAATAAAGAAAAAAGAGGAAGAACTGACAAAGAATAATGGAAGTAGGTTTATGAAGAACAAATGATACCAGACAGATCTGATAACTTTCTTCAATTTCCAAACTGAAAAAAAAAAAAAAAGGGACACAGTAGATCCAATCTGAACTTCAGCAAAATATTTAATACATCGCCTTATGAAATCTTACATGAAAAACTAATTCAAAGTTAATTGTATTCAAAGCATTGTGACATGAATCAAAACTTGGTTAACAAAATATGAACAAAAGGTCTAAGCGTACTGATCGAGACATGGTATGGTTTAGTGGGTTTAGTGGGCATGGTGGCGTTGGGTAGAAGGTTGGACTTGATCATCTTTGAGGTCTTCCAACCATAACAATTCTATGAAACACATCACAAAAGTGTCCCAACCTGATCCTCAGGAACTCATACAACAATGAATTGTTGTAACATCTTTAGAAATCATCCATATAGGATGAAGATAGTCCCTATAAAATCAAACGCTACAAGTTGTAAGGCACTGTACTGTATCTGTTGCCACTTAAGATTTCCAAAATGACCTAAAAACGTTAAACATGCATATAGAGGGAAATAAGATGGGATTCATCTTGGTAAAATACAAATGAGTACACCCAAGAACAATAATCCACTGTAATTTTAAGTCAAAACTGCATAAGTACTGCTATCTGTTAAGCAGAAGTTCTACTTATTCCAGAATTGTCAGTCACCTACATGACCTGTCAATCTCAAGTTATACACAGAATAAGATTTCAATATTCACAGGAAGTGAATGCTCCAATGAAGATGTTAATGAATGAATTCAGAATTTTGAGGACTAGGGAGGGAGGTCACTGGAATGAATGACAGCAAGAGAGAAAGGTGTAAAAAAAAAAAAAATCACTCACCGGCTGTGACCTTTGTCTACAGGAAAAATGCGGACAGATTTATCAAAGCTGGCAGAGACAAATTCTTTCCCAGTAGGTGAATAATCCACATCAAGAACAGCAGACACATGATCCATATGCACCATCACAGGCGATTCAAGAAAGCGCATATCAAAAGTATATAAGCTTTAAAATAAATACAACAACAGCTTAATACCTTAACAACTACTAAGTAAATAGTACACTTTTGCTGAACAGCTACTTTAATCAGACATAAACCACACTTAAGGATAGATCCATATTGCAGAAGAAACTCTTTAAAACTGCTCAAAACACATGAAAAGAAAGAATGATGCACTTAGGACTTGAAAAAAGTTTAACCAGAGGCTTTAGTTAATGGGATCAGACGTAGGTTTCTTGCTCACTGACAAAGAACAGACAGTGTCCACTACTCCCTTCATCATCTGTTCATGAGTCACTGATAAATCCTATTTCTCCAGCCACCATACGGTCCTCCTTTACTCCATCTTCAGATAGAAGTATATAACCTGAACTTGGACAAGCGTCTCTGAATCATTACAGCAAGTCTATCAAGTGTGCAAGGTTTCTAGATAATCCCATAAGGGTACTGTGAAGAGTGTACTGTGAAGTTCCCATTTGGTTGGCACCCTTTCCTACTGCCTAATCGCCTTTAGGCCAGACAATGTAGGAGTCCAAGGAAAGCTTGGTCCTTCAATACATGGAGATACATAGTTCAGCCGAGATACAATAGATACAATACATAGTTCAGCAGAGCACACTATCTGTAGAAAAGTATTACATTAAAAATAAACACACAGCTGCTGGACTACAGCTCATTTGCTCTTAAGCACTTCAAAGCTCAGGTGAGGTCTGCCTGTACTCCCTTTGAATGAACAAGCTCACTGATACACAGCAAGGTATAATAACCAAGTAGGTTATTAACTTGCCTAGTGCCAATAAGCAAAGGTTATTTACAGACAAAACATTTAATGAAACCTGCTTAAGAGATACTATTTAGTAGAACTACTATATTAAAAATTTGTAATTTAGCAGGTTTCTCACCCTCCTTGCTGCAGATGAATGCATAACTGGAATTAATTCAATGTCTCTTATTCAACAGTTTACTGGCAACTATTGCTTTTTCCTTCTAAATTCCCCAACAAAAAGTATGCTAGCATCATATTCAAAACAGCTACTCCAGCTAACACTTGCATGTGCATTGTTGATATATGCATTTGCCACTGCACTTAATACTGATTGTTTTAGTTTGCAAGAGGACAGTTGCTGGTGACAGTAATAGCTACCATTTTTACTTTAGCAAGGGGCAGGGGTGAAGACATATAAACAAACGGAGTAGGTAGCCTGGTAGCCTTACCATACCATAACCAAAATAGGTGAAAAGCAGTACATTAGATACACCACCCACTTTCAAGGTCTGGGCCAGATTCCACTTCCTTGGTAAAAATAGCCTTAAGATAAGAGATAAAATCCCTGTGTTCTAGAAGAAAACAGTAATCTATTGTTAGATCACCAACTTCCTGGAAAAAAGGATATGGAGCACATTTTGCAGTGGCCTAGTTTTGAAGAGGCAGCTTTTTCAATAACAGATTAGCTGTTCACATGAATAGTATTGTTCAAAAGTAAAAAAAACTGCTCTGAGACATTGAAAGGATAAGTATTGCAGGCTCAAACTGTTTCACAAAAGATTTTTTTTTTAAGAAATGTTCTCATCAAAATAGCTGATCAGTACAATATATCAAGCTTCACAAGAGCTGGCAAGAAAATAAACACTTATGTTGCCTCAGACTGGAACAATAGTACTTATCTTCCAGGTCTGTTGTAAGTTACACTTGCATTGGTTCAGCTGCATTTTTTCTAAGTTATACTGTGTTTTTCCCACTCAGGCACCAACATACAGAGAAAGAGGCAGTCTACTATCAAATCTCTCTTTTTTTTTTTTTTTTTAAATCAGTGAGCCTATTAATTCTCTCTGTTACTTAAGTGATTCAAGTTTAGAGGTTAAGTAGTTTTGTAAAAAATTATTTTAGCATGATGATATATCACCAAGATACAGACTAAAAACATAACATGCTCAGGATTATCAAAAAGCAAGGTCACACTTACTTGTAATCTTCATTTGCTGCAGTAAAAACGAAGGCTTCCATGGGGTTCCAACATAGTGTATTTGTCCTCATGTTCAAGATAACCTGAAAGATATTTACATATTGCTACCTTGTTATAGGCAGCAAAACACTCACTACAGTTCAAAACTTCCTATACCTCTGGAGACAAGTACTTTCCAGACACAGAATTATGGCCGAGGAATAGCGACATGAGAACGTTTCCTTACAGCGTTAGCACTGGAGTTCAAGAACTTCCATCTCTCATCATATGCTCACTGCTTTGTGCTACACAACAATTTTTTACAGATTTTCCTGTCTAAGTCATCTTAGAAACAAATTCTTCTAAAGCAGTCATTTAACATGTAAACATGTTAGTGGTTAACATGTACACCTGGAACTTCTCAAAAATTTCACTTCTCCATCATATTTACATGAACCTTTAGTTATCTATAAACACACTTAACTAAACCATTATTTCAAGGGATATAGCCACTAATTGATGCTGTGAACCAGCATTTGCAAAGCCATTATAACATTTTGATGTTTTCCCAGTTATTACTATCCCTTCATTATTTTGCCTCTGAAATCGCAGTTCATAAATTCTCTGGGACAGTTGCCATTTCTTGAAGTGCCAAGCAACGTATGTAGAAGTTCCTGTGTTGTGATCTACTCACCACTATCACTGTATTAGTAGTGAATCATTTACTACACATTTGTAAGATCTGCTCACTGATAGTAAGGATATGGCTACAGAGAGGCCAATTTGCCTTGAAGTGAGAGGAAGGAAGCTGATGACAGCCTAGTAAGACCCTTCTACTTTGCTAACAGTGGACTAGACAAGAGGCATTAAGAAGCTGTACGTCAGATACCCCCACCTTGAAGGGCAGCTGTGGCAGTAACAGCTGGGCCCCTGCGGAGGTCATCCGACACCCCCGTATGACACAACGGCTTTGAAAGCTCTTCCAAGACTCAGCAGCAGCCAACCATTGTATTTAAAAATAAATCCCATACAGTACGCCTGACACAAAGTAGATGTATAATTACAGAGCAACTTACTAACAAACTGAACAACTCTAAACAGGATTTTCCACAATGCTCCAGGCCAGCTATAATCCTACTTGAAAATCCTGAAATTTGAGTGTTTAACGCTATGGTACTCCCAACATATTTTTGTTCTCAGCTTACTATACCAAACACCATACATTTACATACATGTAATGAAATACAGTTGTATAATTACAACTTTTACAACAATGAACACAATTTCAAAGCAAGTTAATAGTGATGATCTCTACTGAACCCCCTCCCTCCCTAAAAAAAGATTATGATTTTATGAGGGTGTGCATATTCTCATGATTCTCTTTCGCCATAAGTCCTCATTTTCTAGGTAACATTATCTTGTTCAATATAAAATCTGCACTGCAAAATAAAGTTCATTTTCAGAAACAACATGCATCCAGAACTGAATGTAATCTTCAGATGTCTAAAGGGATCTCTACTTTAAAAAGTTACTTTACTGAAAAGATAGGCCACTGAAATGCCCTATATTTACAGTAATGTAACAACTAGAATTTGTCAGATTTCAGTATTGCTCTTCTAGTTATAAACTTTGCACATATCTGGCAAGGTAATTATCAAGGAGGGTTCTTTATTTTTCCCTGTCCAAGTTCTTCAGCCACTGCAAAATGAGTACACGATCAATGTTAACACATTATATATATAACAGATATTCTAAATCATGCCACAAAATAACTTTAATATTGTCGAAAAAATCCAGCTCTTTTTCAAAAGGGGTCAGGTTTGGTCAAAGTCCACAGTCCGCATCTTGCTTCACGATTTTTTCACCCAAATTTACAAGCATTCAGCTTATTTTAGCAGTGGCATTTGGAATTAAAATAGTGCCTAAGAAAAGGGTTCTCTGTACAGTTCTAGCATTACATTCAGGAACAACTACGTAAGGTAACCTGGGCTGGAAGTGATTTAAGTTGCTGTAAATAGGTTAATAATGGCATTTCAGAACTATCTAAATCTATAGCAGAGCCATCTTCTGAGACTATTTTTTAATCAATTGTAGATACACTTAGTCATTTCGTAAGAAAAAGTCCTTATTAAGACAAGTCAAAGTTGTGAAGTCCCTGAAGACTTTGTCATCTTGGTTTATTTATTTTAACTGTGACCAGTTGCTTACAAAGAATGTCAGCCCAGAAATTTTGAGATTACTTTAACACAAAGCCGGATCACCCAAATAATTAATCTGTCCTTCTTCACTACCCACAAGGTATTTGGTTGAGGTGAACAGCTGAGAATGTTACAAGCAACAGACAACACAGCTCCTGTCAGCTGTTTAAATGCTAAAGTCTATCTTTAAAACATCCTAAGCTTTCCTGTGGTCCTGTAAGTTGCATAAGAATTACTTTTAAAGTGTACCAACAGTTGCATAAGAATTACTTTTAAAGTGTACCAACTTCTGTTAAAACATCTTCCTCTTGTCATGCAAGAAGATCGCTTCCCTTCATCTTTTCCCAGCTTTTTTATGCTAGTCCTTATTTTGCACTTAGGCAGCATCTCACCATCTTCTCCATCCCTCTGTGAAACATAACAACTTCGAACTCACAGACAGGACAAACAGGCAAGAGAGCTACTGTTTCACGATGTGTCAAGCTCTACTCCTATTTCCCTTAAGGAAGGGACTCCCACTGAGTTCCAAACTCGGGGCAGTGTGTGAGCTGCTTTGCTGATCAAACACCAGGAACACAGCAGTGCTAGAAGTCAGTGCCCATACAGAGGTAAGGTACCTCTAACAAGCAGCACCTTTTTCTTGAGAGTTACAGAGCTCTTAGCTCTCAATGCAGAAATGGACATTCAACCTGCTTCTCCACAGGAGAATCATCCCTATCACAGCAGGAAACTGAGTACTGTATCCACAGATGCAAGGAAGCATTCATCAGTGTTTTACTCCTATAGCAGGAAATGCACCTAAGCATGCTGCTTACTATGTGAGATACACACATATATATATGCAGACATGTATATATACTTTTATATATTTAGCGTATATACATATGTAAAATTCTGTTGGATTCAAACTTCGTTCAGAAAGGCTCAAACTACATCCTTTTAACTTGTAACTGCAGATCTTCAGCACTGGCTGTGTTCATTTCAACATTCAGGTCTCCAACTGGCATCACTGACAATTTTTTATAAGCACTATCTCAGTGGCCCAAATGAAACATCATTGAAAATTGTTGAGCCACAGGGAAAGCAAGCAATACTGTTATGCCAACAACTTGCCTATTTTATAACTCAGTTAAGTACCATTATAGCATTCTAGTGTATATCAGACCAGTGCCATTGCAGACAGTACATAACATACCAGAAGGATACTGAGTGTATATTCACAAGCCAGAATATTGTATTTCAAGAAGAAAATTGTTAGAATAGTTCTAGGGTTCAAAACTACTGAACTTCATTGAGGTTAATATATGTGTATGAATTACTAACTTCTTGTTTTAAATCAATACATACATTCTGTTAAAGATAAACAGGAAAGTTCATGTCATTGGTAAATTCCATATATAAATACAACTTTGATTTCACTGCAAAGGATTTCTGAATGTTTATACTAGGTGCATAGAGGAGGGTTCATCCTTATGTGAAACACCTTTTCAAATGCAGGGCAAGGCTCTCCAATGGTGGAAAGGAAATGCCTTAGAAGTTACCTTGTTTCCTTCTGGCAAGAAGTGGGGGTGGAAGCACACATACACAGACAGAACGCAATGTAGGAACATAAAGTTCTTCTTGTGAAATTGCTGTCAGGTCAGGCACTTTATCAAGAATTACAACAGAGTGAGCATGACAGCCCATTTGAATGCAGAAAAGGGCCCTTCTAGCGCTGCATGATTTAAATCCCAACATTAATTCAAACTCAGTTAAAAGACTCAAAATTAGACAATGAAAAGTCAGTGCACTCACAGTTCAGAGTTTCCCTTTCTCTATCGTCATCAACAGTTACAGACTATTAACATATTCAGTATGATTATTAGGGTCATAAGCTTCTGTTAAAAAGAAAAATATTACCTTCTTTAATGGAGTTGATTTTCTCATATCATATAGCACAATATTTCTGTCAGAAGCACAGCTTCCCAAAAGGTATGTCTGAAAAAAAAAAAAAAAGGAAACAAAAAATCAGTGTGTATGGTCTTCTAAACACTTCTAGAGTGTGGTTAACAGCTCACATTTGATACCTAAGCTATTTCACAATGCTGTTAGTCAAACAGTTCCTTTTTCAGTCAAAGACAGACATTCATCATTCTTTATGTGTAGCTAATTACTCAGCACAAACATTTTAAATAGCTTCCCTGTAAGATTCATAATCCATTCAGTCCTCTGCTTCAAAACTAACAAGCAATTCCTCATAAACATTTCATCTACAAACACATCCCAGCCAAGAGGTATATAGAAATTGCTGTAGATCATCAAATGCAATTGTTTTGCCATGGGGAGGGGGAGAAGTCTTGGTCACAGGGAGTACAGTACTGGAACAGATGAGAGCTCCACAGCCAAGTAACAGCTACATTGTATGACTGAGGTACGGGATATATACTGCTGTGGGCAGAACAGAAACAATCCTACTTCTCTTTCTCCTCTCCCCTGCGAACAGAGACGAGACAAAAATACGAAAATATATGGTACTACATTCCAAAACAATATAGCCATAGAAATACATGTATACATCCCCCTAAATATTATGTTATATATCAAAATCTAAATTTGGAAGAAGCTGTTAAAGATGGTGTAAACAGAGTTTAGATCTTACACTGATCAAGAAAAATATTGACTTCCAATATATAACAGAAACATTACCTCAATGGGATTAAACTTTACACTGCTTATGCTATCAAAACCCCATGTCAGAGAACACATGGGAGTTGTCCTTTGCTCATCCCAAATGTCCACTTGATGGCCACAGGTGGCAAAAACAGCTTCCTTCCAGTGGTGATCAATTCCTGTATACACTGTCTTTAAAAGAAAAAAAAAACTAAAAAAAAACCCAAAACAATTTACAAAACCAATTGTATACTTAAATATGCAAGTATGCTGTTATAAAAAAGATCAACAAATCACTGCATATAGAGTCTGCCATTTTTTTTTCATTTATATTACCCAAAACCAAGTCACCACTGCTACCAGAAACTAAGCTTTATCAGATGTACCCTTACACAGCAGACTAGCTTCCTGTGTACTCAATGTGCATGCATGCATTTCTTGTTAATTTGCAATGGAGTCAGCATTAGAAGCCTATTTACAAAGTCCTGACTGACTTTAAAGCAAATGGAAATTTTAAGGGTACAACTACAAATTTTCAATGGAGACCTGAACAGATTCCATAGATACTACAATAATTAAGGAATTTCAAATCATCTACTTATGAAAAGCATTTAACGCTGTTCTTAAAGTAAGCTTATCATTAATTGAAAGTGCTGAAGTATATATTTTTAGTCTGCTTTTGTCAAAGAGAAAGATGTAAAGTTAACATTTTTTATTGAATGGCTGCAAGGTACTGGCATGAAAAGGAAGTTATTTAATGCAGACTAAGAACTGACAACGCACATCTGAAGAGAAAGAGACTACAGAAAGATCTGACCAGTTCGCAGGAAAGAGATGATCATTAGAGACAGATCTAAGCAGTCTCCGATTGCATTTGAGATATACCTTTCTGGTTACATGTAAAATAAATGTAATAAAAACTTGAAGATACTTCAGAAGTGCCATTATAAAATTTGATGCCATCACCTTACAACCCATTATGATAACAGGTGATATCAAACTATTTCTCTCTCTCCTCCAAAAGCTAGGTAAGAATTGGTTCAAACTTAATACAAAAGAAGAGGTGGGGGGGTGGGGGGTGGAATTAAAACTTAGATTTACTACCTTTCCAAGAATTGTATGAATAGGTTCTTCTTCTTCTCCATATTCTGGGCTCTCCATTTTCCACTGCTTCACAGTTTTGTCATCACCAACCTAGAAATATCAGAGAAAGCATGTACAGTTTTACATAAATATATTCTGGGTTTTTTACTAGATGTGCTTAGCAATTAAGCACAGGCAGCCTTTCAAGAGAGCATGATCTATGACATACGTAGAAGTGCCTTCTCCTGCCTATTCCGTGTTTCCTTTTATACCTCCAAGCTGAAGATTAGTTCTCCTTGTCATAGTATTTCACTGGAAACTGAGAAGGTACACATACATTGTCTGGTTAGAATGGAGTTAACATCCTTCATAGCAGCCCATATGGCACTGTGGTTTGGATTTGTGGCTAAAACAGTGCTGATAAGGCACCAGTGTCTTGGCTGCTGCTGAACAGTGCTTGCACAGCATCAAGGCGTTTCCCCCCCACGCGCTGTCAGTCATCATCCCTGCCTCCCCCATCAGCAAATAAGCTATGTGTGGGCAATAGACTGGGAGGAAACACAGACACGACAGATGACCTGAATTGGCCAAAGGAGCATTCCATACCATATAACATCACGCTCAGCAATAAAAACTGGGGTAGTGGAAGAAGAAAGGGGAGGTAGGGGCTGGCTTCCAAAGTGGCTGCTGCTTAGAGACTGTCTGGGAATTTGTCTGCTTGTGAAAGGAGGAGATTGATTTCCTGTTTGTCCCTCTTTCCCCCACCACCTCCACTTCCCTTCCCCCCCCCACCTCCACTTCCACCTTTCCTTCACCTATTCACCTGTCCTTATCTCAATCCATGAATCTTTTCCAGTTTCCAAAAGAGATACTTCCAGGGTTGAATAGGAAAAAGGTGAGCTGGAATGACGACTGGTTTTTTTATGCTACATTTTGTGATTCTTAATCAAATGGCATCTTAAACTGCAAATTATTTTCTGGAAGTAATTTTGATGAGCATGTAGACAGTTAAAAGGCACTTTCCACCTCAGTTGCTCCAGTTGCCTGTTCCTAATGCAATGCTGCCTCTTGCACTATGCCAGCACAAGCTTTTGCCTGGCTGTGCTGGCAAAAGCTTGTGGATCAGGCAAACTGGTCAAAAAAAAAAAAAAAAAATTTAGCTATATAAGTTTAACTTCCTCTCCTGACAGCACTACTACTGTTTCTTCTTCCACTCTCCCAATTTTCAAGCAGAGGGATTGTCAAAAGGTGATTCTAATTTCGAGTCACTTCAGATATAGAGGAATTCATAGCAAAAAATTCTAACTACTGTCCTCATGACCTGGTATGTACTTCAGAAAAGACATAGTAGTAAAAATAGCTCTTCTATGCCCAGCTCAAAAGAAGCAAAATCCAGGACACTCTAGTTTTCAAAACTACTTCTTTTTCTTGTATGATCTTAGAATTGTTTTAATGCAAACAGGAAGACATACTATTTCCAGATGGTTTACATGCAACTGAGTCAGTTGTGGTTGACATAAGTTAATAAAGCTTAATTAACATGGAACCATCTTTACTTAATCAGCTTATCTTTAATCATAGTACAAGCAAATGATTACTTTTTCATGTGTTTGTACATCTTTCAATGAACACTATCTACTACTTCAATGAAAACTAGTTTACTCAAGTTTTAATTACATGACCATCCATTAGCAACTTTCTGGTATTTATCCCTTCAATAGTATGCAATAACATCCATACTACAACATTAAAAAAAATTTCCTCAGAAATAGAATTGTCAGGTTCACCAAAAACTTTAATAAATGTATTCATACACTATTTAAATATTGTATGGTAGAGAGTAAGTTGCTCACTGGAAAGCAGATGGTGCACAGGCACTCTGTACTGCTACACTGCACTGAGGAGACACATTATACTTACAGTAAAGAATGATGTACCACAGAAACGAGCACACATGCCTCGAACAAAGCCTTCATGGGCTTGTATAGTACGAATACACTGTCGTCTGGTCAAGTTCCAAATTTTAACCTGTTAAAAACAGGAAAGTATTCTGCTGTTATTTAAGTTTTCTACAGCCCACAACTGCAGTTCATAATTCAAGTAGAAGAGATCACACATGTTGTAATCAAATGGCACAGCTGGCTCAAACATTGGCCAGATTTTATAATGTCAAAGCTACTTAATTATTCCTTTCTTGAAAAAAATATTTTCAAGTGTGGTTCTTTCTTTCTTACCCTTTTACTCACTCTATCAGTGGGTAAGAAATCTGGCCAATGTTTCATACAAGTTTATACCCCTCCTCTCTGAAAATGTTAATCTCCCTTACACTACCGCATGATATATGTGCCTTCTACAAAAAGCAGAAAGCAACCAGCTACCCAGAAGACACCTTTACAATACACAAGTACTATCAAATAAACAAGGTAAGGGCGGGACAGGACAGAGAAGACAGGCAATTTTTTTCTGCAACTGACTCCAATTAAAGTGCCCTTGCTTGCTATTTGTAATATTTATGCAAAATAATCAAACAAATACAAGGTTAGCATTTTCTATGCAATACATTAAATTATTATTCCAAAAAGTTTTTGGTTGTGTGCCCCCTCTCCCTAGCTCATCTGACTTCACGTAATCTTGTTAATCTGCAGCAGTTTGACTTCTTCAAGGGGAGGAGGGGGGTCGCGTGGGCAGCAAAAAGCAACTGCTATGGACTCTAAATACTAACATTCTCTGCTCCATCCTGAGGAGCTGAATGTCACAGCCTCTGCTCATAGCTGAACAGCTGAGAGCTGCTGCTTTTTGTGTGCTGGGAGATTACAACCTGCAGTTGAGAAACACTGCCCCAAACTGGGTAAGCTGCACCTTCTGAGAGAGGATAGGGTATCATGCTGAACAAGGACACAAAAGAAAAGTACGCAGGGGGTATTTAAATAACACAAAACCAACAAAACCCACATACACACAAAAGAGAAAGGAAAAAAAGGAAGACAGACAAGTACCTTGTTTGTTGTGGTTTGTAACTGCAGCTTACCTCTCCATCACAAGCTCCAGATAGCACTGTAGACAAACTCTTTGGATGTTTGGCCATGCAATTAACTCCATCTCTGTGGCCATCAAGCGAGCTAAGAAAGGGTTTTGCAAACACACGTTCCAGCTTTGTTGCATTCAGAGCTCTTGTGTACTCTCGTGGAACCTCAAATGGATGCAATGCAGGGTCATAGTTTCTTGGAACTGCAGTAAGAGTAACACACACATTAGAAACCCATGGTATGTAGTGTAGTTCAAGGCAAGCTGAATTCAAAATCTCTTCTCTTTGATTTTCCTGCCATGGGAGAATTTTCTGCAACATGAAGATTTTTGCTGTTCCTACTGTTTTTGAAATTAGTCACTGGGATCATTAGTATGCTCATTTAATAAGCTCAAAGTTAATAAAGTCTGAAATAACTGAAATTATTTGACATCCTTTCCAAGGGAAGATACGAATGTACACAACAAACTGGTAGTTGCAGATACCTTGCAACTATTATTTCAAACAAACAAACAACTACAAAGCAAAAGCAACCAAAAAAAATGCCACAATACCAACCTCCTACCACTAAACTCTAACATACACCAAAAGGACACAGCTACACGGACACGCACAAAGAGAGGCAACCTAGCTCTCTTCACATTTAGTCAGCTGCAAGCCAGCCCTGGCTCAGAACTGAGACTCATTAGTTTCGTTAGCTTGGTCTTCTGCTAACACTACCTGGTTTCCCAGACAGGAGTGTTTACATCCAGTAAGCTTCAAGCAAGGAACTCTCTGCGTTCGCCTACATAGCTATACCTTACAATAAATTGAGAAAGACAGCGGATATTGACACTGTGCTTGGTTTTTGTCTCTTTCATGCAAAAAGGTTGAAAAGCCAGTAGAGCAACTGACAACAGATCACTCATTAAGAATTGGTACTTAGTTCAGTCTGCTGGTTTCCAAAGACGTATTTGATGCATATCAAAACCTCTAAAATCCCTGATGAAACAGAGGTAGCACTCTGTAAGATGACAGAGAATTTAATTTAACAGCTTACACGCAACTTCTACCTAGAAAATCAAGATATATTCAGCTACCGTCCCAGTGTGTAACTTCTAATGGAATATTTTTCCATGTTGTAAGTATATAACCACAATTAAATAACTAGAAAATGTTAGTTATGATGCTACTTTGCACAGCATAGCCACCTACCTCTAATTCAAGCAAATAATGAAGCACATGCAATTTTAAATAATACAGGTCCATTGTACTGCTCAAAACAGTTTGATTTAGTGCATCCCAGACACTCAGAGTTTTATTCCTGCTCTTTCTGACAAAGGGTGGCCATTTCACAAACTTTATTTCTGACACTAGGTAGAAACTAAACCTCATTTACACCATGTTGCAGAGATGAAACTGCCTGACTGTGTAAGAGCAGTTCTACAGAGAATGAGCAGAACAGAGCATGGAAAGTCATCATCTCATCTACCAGGCTACAGCTGCTGCATCTAAAAATGCGTAAAAACTACGTGATTTTTGCCAGTTTTAATAAGGGATATGCAAGAAGCGGGATGAGATCTACCAGGAAAGAAACAGTAGTAAGTGCAAGATTGCTAAGAGTAACGTAGGTAACACTAAGGGTAGTCTCGGAGTACCAGAACGGCGACTAACCACCCCCGCCCCAACTCCGCACTCCGGCTCTAACGGCGTTCCCGGACCACGCTTGGCACCCCAAGAACCCGGATTTCGGCAGCCGGA